CTTAGGAACCCGATTGGAGGGTGAAGCTTCAATATTGTTTAAGGCTGAGGCCGCCATATATACAATATAGCCTATACTCAGGTAATCCTTGGTGATGAGTAACTTGGTCATAAGGGCACTTGATCCATTAATCAAATCATGCAGTTGTTGATGGAGGACGGCATTGGTTGGTGGTTGTCTCTGATCAAGCACCGTTGCTTGCAAAGTGACTTGAGAAGACGCACCAAGGGAATCAAAAACTTGAATGTATATAGTCAAAGCAGAGTTCTGTGATGGTCTGCCAGGAGGAAGGAAAGACCAGGGAGTTTTGGATTCATGTCCGGCATAGATAATTATCCCCAAAGTATTATTTTGAATTGAGGATATGGAACTAATTGTCGTTTGATCCGACGCTGCTGTTACTTTGTAGGCAAGAGGCTGATTTCTGTCTTCAAATCCATTGCACTGGATAATGAATTTTGTTAGAAAAGCTATTCCTTTTCTTGGATTAAGGACACATTTTCCTATCTGTGGTGGAGCATTAACATAAAAAGAATATTCACAGCTAGAGGACTGTCCATCTTTGGTGATGACTTTTAGGCTCAAAATGTAGGACTCTTCTGCCATGGAAACCAAAGCAAAAGCTTTGACATGTAGATATGAGCTGGATCTTCTGGTAGTTGTTCTGGAAGACCAGTCAAATTTGATTTCATGGGACTGGGCCGATCGCAGTGACCAATAATACCAGGGTTTGAGTTCCCTGCAGTTTCCACATTTACCAGACAGTGAAAATCTTTCTGTTGGAATTACTGACGTTCCACAATTTTCAAGGCATGCAATGTTCAGAATGAGGGCACCCTGAGCCCGTATGTGTATGGTTTGCTGAGCGTGAGCTATCCTGCTACCATTTTGAACTGCCAGGAGAAAATGGTATGTATTATTGGCCTGAAGAGTTTCAGGAAGTACCATCTGAATTGAATCGGAGGATGTGGTCCACTTCAAATCCACCTGATCGGGATAACATTTCCCAACTCTGCTGAGGGCCATTGACGTATAGTCTGTTTCCTGTTTGGTGCAATACCAAGTATAGGACAATCCCTGAGACAGACTGACCAGCTCACCATTGGACAGGACAGATCCTTTTAGAATCCACCGATCAGAAAATCCAACAGACCGAAAATGGCCTCCTGTGATGACAGCACCCCAACGATCTGACCCAACCTCTATCAACACTGCATCCGAGCGCTCTATCTTCTGGGGCAAAGTGGATGAAATTAATTGCACAGTAAAATTAAAAAGATACAGGCCAGTATCCAAGCTGGTGCAAGGGATTTTTAATCTGATGAAATGTCTTCCTTCAATGCCAGGTGGATTAAAAGGTTTAGACCAGTCTGGTCTATCTGACAGATTAGTGATTTTATAGATGTTCCAACTAACTTTAGTTGCTTTGGGGCCTGGACAATTGATCCGCATGTCTGCTGCAAGTGTAAATCCAGTCCCCAGTGCGTAATGCAGGATGTGTTTGGTATTAACTGCCCGGTGGATCCTAACTTTGGGAATGGTGCAAGTTTTTTGCTGGCAAGCAATTTGGGATTCTATGACTTTCAACGCATAAATGTTAAACCTCGCCGTGAATATTGTAGGAATTTTTGCACTCTTTATGCATTTCACTCTGGCAACAAATCCCGCATACGAGGCAGGATGGAAAGCTAAGGTAGAGTCAGGAAGGAAATGAGCTGCATTTCTGGTCTGATCGATGTAGGCAAAACTGTAGTTTTCCACCAGAGGCCCGCCCACGGAATCAAAAACTTGCAGATTGAAGGCCCATTCACACTGAAGTAGGGGATGTTGCACAGGGATGAACCACACAACGTAGACCAAGCTATTGTCAGGAGACGTGCCGTTGAAGACGTAAACGTCCATCTCCTTTCCCCCTAGAGATTGGAACAGGGCCTCTTTCCGATTCAGATAAATATCCAGGCTGAATCTAAATAACTGTAGCTGCACATATTTAACCGTAATCAGGTAAGAGAGGCCCGCTTGCTGATAAAGTACATAGCAGAGGCTGGCGTTCTCAGCAACACCGTTGGTCAAGTTGCCTTTCTGGGTAGAATAGTAGAGGCCTTGGGCCTGACTGAAAATATAAGTGCTAATTGTGTTTTTCTGTGGGTTGAGTCTTATGGAAATTGAGCTTGTCCCGCTTGTTCTGAAAATCAACGTCCTGTTTAAGAAATCAAGTCTTCCTCTTACTCTATCTAATACCCTCTGGCTGGTACGGAAGTACACACTGGCCACAACTGTTTCCTTGGTCCGGTGTGATGTGGGCACGGCACAGAAATGGCTGTGCAGACCAAACGGATTGTAGTCATAGGAATGGGACCACTCTAGGGATCTTTGTGTGTCCAGCAGTTGGTAGGCTACTATTTCTGGGCTGAGCTGCTGAAGGTTCCAGGAAAAGCTCAGAGCCCCTTGTGACTGTCTCCTCAATTGGGAGGTTACCCTGAAAACAAAGAGCAGAGCAGGCTCCACAAAGAAATCCAGGCTGAGGCTGCTCTGGGGTCCCAGCTTATAGCTGACCGAAGCGATGTAGAATCCACGGAGTGGGTACTGCACAGTCAAATGGTAGCTATAGTAAGACATGCAGACCTGGTACAATTCGGCACTGGGGTAGTCACTAAGTAGGAGGGGCTCATTGTGCTGGTTGGTGGGAATGAGGAGGTCCTCAGGAAGACCCCCTTGGCTCTTGAAGTAGTAGCGCCAGGCCGAACTCTTGAGGCGTGCACACCAGCCCAAGCGCACCGGCTGCCTCTCCAAAATGGGAAGTGTGTGAGGCTGCAGCAGGAAGAAATGGATATCTTGCTCCACAACCTCAATGTTCAGGTTGTGATACAAGCACAAGGGAGCCAAGCAAGAAACTGAGGTGCACTTTACGGAGATCTGGGTACTAGCCCAAGGTGGATGGGGACTTTCCTGTGGCAGGCCTGGACTGAGCGTCAACTCACCTGTCCAGGAAGTCGTCTGGTTGACTAGGATGGCATTCTGATACCAGTGACAGAGAGGGGGCACTGTCCCTCCCTCTTTGGGGTTTCGTTGGGGGGCTTTTGAGTAGTGCAACACCACATATCTGTCCCAAAGACACGAGACCTGGAAAGGGTGGTCTTGTTGTTGATAGACACGGTTCTCAGGCTTGGCACAAGTGACTGACAGTGGTGGTGGCATGAAATGAAGTCGTGCTGCCAGGGTGCTGGGGCAGTCACCAAACCAGCAGAAGAGGGCGAGCAGAGGCCAAAGGAATGGCCAGGCTCTTACAAGGAACGAAATAGTTTCAGTAGCTCCAGGCATCACACCAGCTGTCGCTTAGTAACCTTAGAGATCCCAACGGGAGGAAGTGAGCCAGTGGATTCTAGAATCTTTCTTCAGTTTCCACTTTCAATATGGCCACCAAAATTCTTGCCAACTTAAAACCAAGCAAACAAAGCAACTTGGGAGAAATTTGAGAGTAATAATGTATAACGGAAAAATAGTGAAGTATACATTTGACTAATTAAAAAAGAGTCACTACCGTAGGTATTTCAATATTTCAACCGTTTGCATTAATTTAACCAATTTGATTCGGACTTCCACAATTACAAAGTCCAAAGGTGGAAAAATTATGCTTATGTCCTCGTGTTATAATATCCTCATAGCTACCGGTAGCATTTGATGGGTATTTTTTGAAGATAGTGGGTGTAAATTTGGTGAGCAAAAGAAATTCTTCAAAGAGTAAGGAGCATGTCAGCAAAATGGAAACATAGAAAGAATGCATACTGATTGGCAAATAAAAAAGGGCAACCTTGAAGTGTCTGGATCTCAGAAAGTTGTATCAAAATTTCTGTGGCAATGTGAATATATTTTTTTTTATTAAAACTATATATATTTTAGGACAGTAACAATAGAAGTAACTTGAGGTTTGCTAATTATGAATACCTATGCTTACATCATCTATTACTTATCCAGATGTATGACTATATCTTCTTCTCCTCCATTCTAAAATATATGCATATGATGCACCCTTTTCTCTATAAGAATTCCCTTCCATTATTCTCTGGAAGAAGTTTCTATAGTATACACTGTTCAATGAATAAATGCTGCCGTGAGCCTTGATTATTTGCTTTGGGCCCTACGTTTTGATTGCACAATTTCCAGAGCTGACATTTTTATTACAACTATATCAGAACTTTTACAATCACACAAAATACTGGTAATGATTTTAGAAATACCAGGCTAAAACAGAGGTGGGATTCAAATTTTGTTACTACTGGTTCTGTGGGCGTAGCTTGGTGGACGTGGCATGGCTTGGTGGCGTGGTAAGGGAAGGATACTGTTAAATCTCCATTCCCATCCTACTCCAGGGGAAGGATACTGTAAAATCTCCATTCCCTCCCCACTCCAGGAGAAGGTTACTGCAAAATCCCCATTTCCTCCCGATCAGCTGGGACTCGGGAGGCAGAGAATAGATGGGGGCGGGGCCAGCCAGAAGTGATATTTGCCAGTTCTCTAAACTACTCAAAATTTCTGCTACTGGTTCTCCAGAACTGGTCAGAACCTGATGAATACCAACTCTGGGCTAAAAACTAGAAAAATGGTAGCACATTATCAGTTTTCTTGCACTGACTTGCTTCTGTTTGTTACTTGATTTTATTTGTTCAACCTGATTGCAAAAGGCAGGGGAAATAGAATCTGCTGCAATGGCAGAATTGTCTAGTCTTACTAATCCCCCTCCAAAAAAAATCACTTGAAAAAGCACGAGGTTTAAATAGATTATTTATTAGAATAATAACTGGAATGTAGAACAAAACAGTTTTTTTAAAAAAATGGCAATGTGTACGAAGTAATGGGCTGCTTGTTGTTACAGGATGAATAAGAATTTGGGAGGAGTCAAAATTGCATTGAAGATGAAGATGGTTGCAAGAGAAAACTCTATGGAGCTCAGCTTGGGACAGAAGCAATAAAAATGTACCTGATTTTTACAGAAGCCTTTCTCAAACAGTAAGAAAAACCATTTTCTTGCCTTCTATTTTACTGCATTTCAGCCCCGGCTGTTGACTATCCCTAACTACCGATTTACCAAATATGGTAACATTGACGTAATCGTCTCCAGAGTCTGGCTGGCGGGTTAAAGAACGCCAGATGCTTCGCAACTTCAAATACAAAAAGTTGATGGCTTCGGCTTCATCCGAATGTTGCTCGTAAACGGTCTGTTTCATCGACGTGTAAGTCGATATTAAGAGGCTTCTCCATAAATTGACGAAGGTGAACATCACTGTAACTAGGAACGACGATTGGAAAAATATGGTGAGCCACCATCTCGACGCAACGTCCATCTGCTTAAATCCTGAAAAGCAGTAGGAAACGACAGTCTGCAGAGAGTGAACCCAGCTGCTGAAGGACCACTCATACTGACCAAATATGAGATAGCCGAAGGACATGAACGTGCAAAACAACAGAATGGCGAGGACGGTCAAATTAAGAAACACAGGGAAGACTGCTGACATGGTTTGCTCCGCAAGGCGCACCTTGTACATGAACCTGAAATATCGGTAGGGTTTCAGCACCAGGAGAAAACCTAAAATACCCGCCACCATCACGTAGAGCTGGTCAATTTGAGAAACAACATGGAAGGGGACAAATTCTTCTGGATTGAGTAGATAAAACTCCAGTAAGGTAAATGCCATCTTGAATTTCAGGGCAATGAGTAGTATAAAAAACATACAGATGTTCTTTATGGCGAAATTATTTAAATTGGTCGCTGTTTGGAGATAACCTATCCTTTCTTGACGTAACATATGAAATTCATCCGCTAAGTAGAAGACAAGAATGTAAATCATGAGTCCATAAATTACCAACCGGGAGGTGCTTTCGTACTGGAATTTAGAGAGCGTATATGAATGAACCGACAAAGTTGAACTAATGATGCCAAAGTTGGTAAACTCAAAAATGACTGTGATACTGCAGTATAGCCCTACATCTGGAGTAAAGGTTGTCAGCTCAAAAATCAAAGCCCGCGTCCTTTTATCAAGCCATTTATTGCTTTGCAAACCTTCTAATCTTATTGTCGTATTTGGTCGTTGTTCTCCTGGGAAAAAATAAAACGAGTATCCCCCTGGGCCATATGAATTTACCACACCGTAAGACTTATATTCCCATTGATCAATATCTGACTGATACGTGAATCCTTGAAAATTGGCAACGTGACTGGAGACGGACATGTTGATCGGCTTGGTCCATGACCCAAGGTAGTGCTTTTGATCTTCTGGATCATTAGCAAAATCATAGTGACAGGATCTTTGGCCGATCAAGTAATTGTTGGCAAAATGGCCTGGAGGAAAACAAGGCCTTTCAAGATGCAGACCTCTGACCTGTCTCATTCTGGGCAAACCCAGGATTTTGGACCATGACTCTGAAAGGTAGGTGGGTAGATAGTCATTATGTATCAGTGGTACAAATGTGTCACTCATCCAAATGTAAATGTCCTCAAGTTTGGTTACTTTGGACAGACCAAGATTAAATTTATCATGGATTACTTTGTTGTGGTAAAAGGAAACGGTGGGCACAGTAGAGTAAGCCACGGTTAGAACGCAGGAGGCAAAGATAAGATGACAAATGATGTCCTTGATGAAAACAAATGCCAGGTGTTGTGCCCGCACTTTTTTCCTTAAGATGATGACTTCGTCCTCTTCCAAAGGCTCATATTCCTTGCTCTGCCTAATCTTGACCAGTTCGTGGTGAATCTTTCTGACATCCCTAGGATCTATATTCACTCTCAGCAGCTTCATCTTCTGGTACTGCTCTGCCGATACCCAGGAGATGTGCTTGCAGTACTTGATACTAATGGTACTGACCCCTGAGCTGAGGGCCATCTTTAGGGTTTGCAGCAGGAAGACACTCTGAAAAAATGACGTCATGGATGCTATGAACCATTCTGTGGAGGTGCTATAGCCGTAGGTGAGGCCATATAGGATGATGAACACGGCAGAGACGAAAGACATGAAAAAAACGATGACCCACGCGACATATCTCCACCACCAGGCAAACTGTGGCTTTCGAGTAAACACCTTAATCAGCATAATTATCCTTTTCCTTGTGCTAATTTTAGGGGGTTCCTTTTCTGAGAAGATAGTTATACTACCACCTTCGTCTTCATCACTACTGGACGATGAGGAGCTTTCTTCATCTTCCTCACTTGTTTCTGAAGATGAGGGACTATAGTCAGGTACCATATCGTCCTTGTCATCGGAAGGTTTTTCCATAGAGTATCTAAATAGGACGGTCATTGTCAGCTGTAAAGGAACACAACATAGAGCACTGAAAGCCCCGATGTACATGGATCTCACAATCCGGAATTTTAATGACATGATTTCTTCTTCCTCACCACTGAAGAACATGATGTTCAGGAGCAAAGTTGAAAGCATTATAGCCAGGCAGCAAGAAACTCTCTGTAGCCGGTTAAAAGTACCGGTGACTACCTGAGAAAATATGGAAAGCCAGAGATGATCGTCTTCTAAGTCTTTAGCCAGGTGTATCAGAAAGAAATCCATTTTCTCTAACCTTGATTTCAGATTCGAAGAAAAAATGTATCTTTCTATTTTGCCATCCGCCTTGCCAAGGCCTAACCACTTCCTACATATAAACAGCCATGATCGTTGAGTATCTACGTTAAATACTTTGACTCTGCTTAAGTACCAGTTTGGGGAAGAACCATTGTTATTGTGCCAGATGTGAATGCAATAAATATCCCCTAGGTCATATCTTGTAGCGAAGAGAAAAGTATCAACAGCTCCGCGATACTGGGTTGGGAATTTGGGGTGCTTCATTCGATGGACGTCGCTGTAACCGTCCCTCCCGATCAATTCAAGAAATACATCAGCCGTGGTTCCGGATCCCAAGCGACTTCCGGTATAGATGGTGACCAGATAATGCATTCTGTGATAAGGGTCGTTATCTGGCAAGACAAAGATTTTGTTTTTTCTCCTGATGTCATCTTTATCTCTAATGATGGCCCAGGATGCACAGAAGATGTAGCCAGCAAAAATGAAAAACACAGTCAAAATTGTCACGGGATTCGTGTCAAAACTTGCTACGAGTACTTTCTTGATGTCCAAAGGATTGGGGTAAATAACAAATGTGCCACTGACAAATCTGACTTCAGGTTTTAAAGGCCTTGATAATTGGCGCTGAGCCGTTCTGGGGTTCGCACCGCAGACACAGTGCAGTTTGGACAATCTGGTCTGAGGGCCAAGGTGGCAGGTCTCGTCGGACAGTTCAAAATTTGGAAGGTGACCCAGATCTCGGCAGCTTGCGGTAAAAACCACAATGCGAACTATCTTGGTGGTCTGCTTTCTGACCACGGGTGAAGATCTTAGGACCACGGAAATATTCTGTTTACTTGCAAGTTCAGACCAGAGCAATGCCTGCGGAAGGCAAACGATGTATGGAGCCTCAATTGCACATTCAATATTGGTCGCCCTTTGCTGCGGGGTAGAAGGTTTGTCAGAGAAAGCAATGTAAGACACAAGTGGGGGGGAGCTAAAATTGAGTCCCAAGTAGATGGAGACATTGAAAGTGATGTTCCTATGGCACAAAATCTGGACATATATGTCCGGAGAGTTTCTACTGACTTCTATGCTAAACCCACCAGCTGTTACTACACGCTTTTTATCCAGCCCTATCGTCAGATTAAATGCGACGGGATCCTTATCTATTCTATCCATGATCACTTCGGCCACTTTAGGGGTGACCCCAATGACGTCACCATTTGCTTTGGCGCCAGCCACTTTGAACCCCATCACGACCGTGTGATTATCTACTGCCTTCCTCAGCCAAGGGAAAGGATTCTCCTCAAATACATAATGAACCACGGAAATCGGTGCATCTGCTGGTAACTCCTCCTGGCTTTCCAATTTCACGTTAGGATAAAAGCAATTCTTACAAGATCTCCTCTCGGAGAGAGTCCTAGAAACGTCCCGCTTTTCCTCTTTCCATAAACGGATGGACCAGCCTTTGGCTTCCATATTAACGTGGTCTTCCCCGGGGACTTTGCCTTGCAAAACTATATCTGCCAATAACTCTGACACTGAAATGATTTCCTTGATGGTGTTTGCAGGCCCATTCCTGGGGTTCGAGAGGGAAGCTCTTAACACATTGGACAGCCCAGTAAAAATGCCACCGGCAAGGACCTCTGCTTCTTGAGAGCCGAGATCAACGTCTCTGTGTCTTTTCAGAGCTTCGCTGGTCTTTCGGAGGATTCGGACCGCGATCAGCTGGGATTTCCTACTGACTTCATTTGCATTCTGAGTTATTTGACAAATGCCGGAGATTACTTGGTTTAGTATCCCTGCCTCGGTCAGGGGAATCCGTGCAGATTCGTTCAGTAGCATTTCTCGTAATTCAGTTTTAGAATGGTAGAAACTGGGTGACGGCTCAATGTTATTTAATTCAGAAGCCACCATATAGATAATGAAGCCCATGTGTAAGTAATCTTCGGTGTCAAGGAAGACAGAGGCAGAGCTATTGAGCTGTCCAACTAGCTGATACAGTTCATTGAGAATCAGATCCGTTGGCTTGCTGGTCCTTGATTCAAATACCGTTGCCTGCAAGCTGACTTGTGAAAAAGCATCATCGGTGTCGTAAACTTGAATAAGTATGTTCAGAGCATATTTTTCAGAGGGTGTACCGCTGGGAAGAAATGAGGGCGGGGTGCTCCGCTGATGACCAAGATAAACTATGGTTCCAAGTGAGTTATTTTGCAAGGATGATACGTTAGCTATTTGGGCTAGATCAGAACAAGCAATGACTCTGTAGACGAGAGGTCCTTTCTTGTCATCAAATCCAGAGCACCGGAGGGTGAATTTTGTCATCAGCGCAATGCCTTCCATTGGTTCGACAAAACACTTTCCAATTTGCGGGGGGATGTGAACATAAAAGGAGTAGCTACACACAGCCAACTGGACTCCCTGCATACTCACTTTCAGTTTAAGGATATACAACTGGCCAGCCATGGAGCTAAAGGCCAAAGAATTTATATGCAAATACGGACTTGTTCTCCCAGTGGTTGTTTTAGAAGCCCAGTCAAAATATATTTCCTTGGAATCTGCTGAAAGGAGGCTCCAAAAGTAAACCAGATGGGCTTTTGCACAATTCAGACACTTCCCGTACAGAACCAATCTTTCCGTGGCTTTGATGCCTTTCTCGCAGTTTTCCAAACAGATGATACGCAGGACAGGCCCAGAACCAGCAAGGACCTGAACAGCTTGAAACGCGGCTGCAGACTGGTGCTTCTTGATAGCGACCAGCTTAAAATAATACGTTGTGTTTTCCTGAAGGGTCTTCGGTTCCACGACTTGCACTGGCTCTTTCGAGTGGGTCCAGTACAGATCACGTTGTCTCGAGTGGCATTTCTGATCTGGACCTAACTTCATAGCAGAATAGTCTAATTCCCGTTTGCTGCAGAACCAGTGAAACAGAATTCCTTCCAGAGGTTCAGTAGAATCCGGATCCGAAGATATGGACCCATCCAAGGACCACTGATCAGAAATGCCAACGATCCGGAAGAGGCCTCCAGCTATAACTGCCCTTAACCCACTTTCTAGAATTTGGAGGAAAACCGAATCGGACCGAACGAATGTTATATTTTCTGCAGGTAGATGCACGCTCATGGTCAAATTAACACGATTGAAGCCATACGACAGGGCATTTTTAGGTATGTGCAACACAATACCCCTTGTGTTCATCCCTTCGGGGAGTGTGAGAGGGTTTGGCCAATCTGGAATCGACCATGCAGTGCTGAGTTCATATATTTTCCAAAGAAATTCAAGAACTGGACGAGTCCTGCATTTCGCTTCGGCTGTTGCTTGCAAAGTGACGTCTTCCTCTCTCTTATAATGCAGCACAGGATCCAAAGGGTTGGGTTTATGGATTGCAATGGTCAGTTTACGACAATAACGTTTCTGGCAGGGCACAGCTGGCTCCATCACCTTTGAAGCGTAAGTCCCAAGAGCGGCTGTTAAAACGGCTCGTACGAGTCCATTTTGCCTGCAATTCACTTCTGCTACGAAGCCTGCGTACTGCGTGGGTCTGAAAGAGAAGACCGAATGAGGAAGAAAACGAACGGCATTTTTAACACGGTCCCTGTAGGTGTAGGTCTTATTCCAAAGGAGGTGTTCCTTCCTGGAATGAAAAAGCTGCAGGTGGAAAGCCCAGTCACACTGCAAGTAGGGGTGTGGCACGGGAATAAACCACACAACATAGACAAAGTTTTTATCAGGAGAATGTCCACTGAAAACGTGAACTTCCATCTCTTTCTCGGCCAAGGATTTGAACAGACCTTCCTTTCGGTTCAGATATAAGTGCACGCTGAACCTGAACCACTGCATCTTCACAAATTCAATGGAAATCAGGGTAGAAAGGGCCACTTGTTGGAAAAAGAGGTGGTGGAGACTGGAGGGCCCGCTGCCTTCTAGGGTGGAATACGAGAGCCCATATTCCTGGCTAAAAAGGTACGTCCCTTCTTTGATTTTCTGTGGGTTCAGCCTGATGGAAATCGGGCCAGCATTGCTTCCTTGGAAAATCAACGTGTCGTTAGAGAAATTGAAGTGTCCGTTCAGCTTCTCGGAGAACGTTTTACTAGTACGGAAGTAGATTCTGGAGATTACCTTCTTCCCAGAAGCTTGCGAAATGGGCGGGGCGCAGAAATTGCTTTGCAGAGCAAAAGGATTGTATTTGTAGGAGAGAGACCACTCCTCCTGTCCTTGCAGATCCTCCAGTGTGTAGGCTGTTACGCTGGAGCTCAGAGGCTGGAGACTCCAGGAGAGGGCGAGAGACCTCTGGGTTCGGCTAAGCAGGGCAGAAGAAGCACTGAAGACATGGAGAAGAGCAGGCTGCACATGGATGCTCAGACTAAGGCTGAGGGGAGGCCCATTCTCTAGGTGCAACAAAACTGTATAGAATCCACGCTGGGGATAACGCACAGTGACGTAGTAGTGATAATAGACTTCGCAGACATGGGGCAACGATGCGGAGAGGCCTTGAGTGGAAGCAAATGGTTCATTGTATTGGTTGCTGGGAATGAGGTGGCCTGCAGGGCTGCCCCCTTCACTTTTCAAGCGGTAGCTCCAGGGGGAACTTTTGAGGCGGGCGCACCAGCCTACCATCACAGGCTGCCATTCCCAGATAGGAAGGCTCTGTGGTGACAGGAGGAAGAGCTGGACGTCTTGCCTGGAAATTTCAACGCTAAAGTTGTGGTGAATGCAGGGAGGCTGGCCGCACAGGGCTGACACGCACCGAATTACAATCCGAGTCAGGGTCCAGGGTGAGTAGGGCCTTTCTCCATCCAGGCTTTTGCTCAACATAAGCTGACCTGACCAGTCATTGGTCTGCGTGACCAAGATGGCGTCTTGGTACCACTGACAGTGAGGAGGAGGAGGAGGAGGAGGAGGAGGAGGAGGAGGAGGAAGAAGTTGGGTATCTGGCTCTCCTCTCTCGATCTCTGGTGTCCCTTCAGGCATCCTGGAATACTTCAGGTCAACCTGTCCATCCCAGGCGCATGAGAGGCTCAGTTCAGTGTCGTGCTTCTGGTAGACACGGTGCTGGGCATTTGAGCAGGTCACCTGCAAAGGGGGAGGCCAAATATGAGGCGTTGTGGCTATTGTACACTGACCAACGTACCCCAACAGAACAACCAGGAGCTCTGGGCAATGCATTTGGGGGGGGGGTGTTTGAGCACTCAGGAAGCAGCTTGTCAGCATCCAGCTCCAGCCAAGGACACAGATGGTTTGGATTCTAGAACCCGAGCGGTTGCCCCGAGCAACTGGAATTCCAGGCCATTGTGGAAGATCTTGTAAAATTCCTGAATGTTTGAAGCATCCTGCCTGCTCTTCTTCATTAAGAAAGAAAAAAAAATATATAGCCAAGCTTTTAGCGCTCGACTTGAGTTTTTGTCTTTATAGGTAGTCCTTGACTTGTGACCACAATCAAGTTCAACATTTCTGTTGCTGAGTGAGACACTTGTTAAGTGCCCCATTTTACGACCTTTCTTGCCACGGTTGTTAAGCGAGTCCCTGCAGCTGATAAGTTGGTAACTTGGTTGTTAAGTGAATCTGGCTTCCCCACTGATTTTACTTGTCAAAAGGTTGCAAAAGTTGATCACGTGGCCCTGGGACACAGCAACTGTCGTAAGTATGAACCAGTTGCCAAGCATCTGAATTTTGATCACATGATCATGGGGATGCTGCAAAGGTTGTAAGTGTGAAAAATGGTCGTAAGTCACTTTTTGTCAGCACCGTTGTAACTTTGAATGGTCAGTGAAGGAACTGTTGTAACTCAAGAACTACTTGTATTGATTTTATGGTTGGCTGTTTTATTTGCGTTGTGACCCTCCCAGAGTTGTGTTTTCAGATGGACGAGGTAGAAATCTTTTAATTTGATTCATTAATTAGCTGCAGAGACGATCCCAAAAATGTTCCAGACATTTTGTCCTGGATGTGCCTCGGGTATCCTGCACCCAAAGCAAAGCATGTCTATCTTTTGAGAATCTGATTTCAATCCCATCCCATTTTGAGAGGATGGTTTGGAGGCCTGCGACAGTTTCCAAACGTTTTCATTGGGCTATTGGCTTAAACATCAATACGTGAGTCACCGTTTTTCAAATCTTTTCCAACCTCACCGGGATTGCAGCAATCATGTCTCAATCCTGTTGGTTTAGACCAGGGGTGGGTTCTAAATTTTTTTACTACTGGTTCTGTGGGCGTGGCTTTTGTGGGTGTGGCTTGGAGGTCATGTGACTAGGTGGGCGTGGCTAGCTGGTCAGAGTCATTTCTGGAAGGTCCTCGCACTTACGACCAGTCCTCGCACTTACGACCCGACTCATTTGTTTGCTTTTAACACTGATCAGCTGTAGGACGGCCCTTTGAAGCCCCGCGGTAAGAGTTTAAACAGGTTTTTTCCCTCTAGTCATCAGCTGGGACTCAGGAGGCAGCAATAGATTGGGGGTGGGACCAAATAAAAGGTAAGAATAACGTGGGGGGTGGGGGGGTGGGAGGGCGGGGGGGGGAGAGAACCAGTTCGGTGATGTCATATCGTCACCGCTGTCGGCTCGGCCGAACCGGACCGAACCGGGAGGAACCCACCACTGGTTTAGACTGAAAGAAGGGTTATGTGACCAGGGGTGGGATCCAAAAATTTTAGAAACCATTTCTCTCCCCAGTTGCTGGGTGGGCGTGGCCATGGTGGGTGGGCCTAGTCAGCCTCCTGTACCATGGCAGGGGGGCGTTTTTGCCCTCCCTCGGCTCCGGAGGCTTTACTCAAGCTTCTGGGAGAGCAAAAATGGCCTCCCCAGGCTTCAGAGGCCCTCTGGAGGCTGGAAACAGAACCATTTCCGGCCTGCTTGAGAGCTTCCTATTTTTTGCCCTCCCTGAGCGTCTGTGCAAACCTTGCACTTACCTGCATCCAAAATGGGCTGCGTGGAGACTCCTGGGAGGGGAGGGGAGGGATGGGCGGGGCCAGCCAGGAGTGGGATTTGGCGGTTCTCCGAACTGCACAGAATTTTAGCTAGAGATTCTCCCGAACCCCTGTAAATCCCCAGCAGCCCACAGCTGGATCTGACCAGGGGTGGGTTCTACTTACCTTTACTACCGGTTCGCAGCGGGGCTCCGCACGCTCTTCTGCGCATGCACAGAAGCGTTTTGATGACATCGGGGTCAGTGGGCGGAGCCTCCTGCCGGTTTTGCTACCGGTTCTATAGAACCAGTGCGAACCGGGGGCCACCCATCACTGGATCTGACCAGGGAAAGCGAAGAGGAAAGAACAATTAAGGCAGTGTTTTCCAACCATGGCCACTTTTAACACGTGGAGACTTGAAGTCCCCACATGTTAAAGTGGCCATGGTTGAGAAACATTTAATTAAGGATATGGTCAAGCCTCACAAACACTGCTCTCAGTTCGTATAATTTTTGTTATGCTTGAGTTGCACACTGGTGTAGCATTTGCTTCATTTTGGTAGCAGGCCGGGAGTGTAAAGGGTGTGTGTGTGTGGGCACATGTGTGTCTGTCTGCCTACTCTGTTTCATGCACAAGGCTAACGTTATTGAAGAAAAATACATTGTTGATTTGCCTGGCTAGCAAGCTGAGTTTTGCCACGTTTTGTGTCCTGTTAATAACCTTTTTTATTTATGCTTTGATGGCATGATTTTTTGACTTTTCCTGAAGATATCCCTGGTTTCAAGGCTCTTGAGCAAGGACGTCAAACTTGCGGCCCGTGGGCTGGATGCATCACACGCTGGCCATGCCCACCCCCGATTTAGCAAAGGGGAAAAAAGTTGTGATATGTTACATGACGACGTGTCGTCCAGTGGTGGAATTCAATTTTTTTTACTACCAGCTTAGTGGGCGTTGTTAGGATATGCTATAAGTCTAACAAGTTGTCCAGGCAATATATGTGTTCTATAACTTTAAATGTAATGCTGAGTAATTGTACTGCTGAGTCATTGTAATGACTAATGACTGCTGACTGACTGCTGATTGCAATTATCATAATTGTACTGTTGAGTCATTGCACTGCTGACTTCACTTATCTTAAGCGGATAATTACTAGTGTAAACTGTATATAAGAAGGAAGCCGAGCTATAGTCATTGTTGGACCTGCTCTCATCATTGCATGACTTGCTGCTTGACTGGAACTGTTGATTGGAACTGTTACTGTCGTGTGTGAAGACGTGGATGGATATGCTACCATCGTGATTTGTTACCAGCGTGAATTACTGCTGTTTTTCTGGTAAGAAGATATCTGTAACTTCGGACTGATTTGAATGGCTAAAGACTTGGATTGATTAAAAGACTATGCAATTGTTTTTCACTACAAAGTAAAAGCTTTGTTAAACCAGTTTGTATGTATTGTATTCATTGCTCTCAATACCGTTTCTTTGTGCACTTACTCTGCTGGTTGGTAACACAACAATATCCTTAACAGGTGTGGCAGGGGAAGGAGACTGCAAAATCTCCATTCCCACCTCACTCCAGGGGAAGGATACTGCAAAATCTCCATTCCCACCCCACTCCTGGGGGAAGGATACTGCAAAATCCCTATTAGTATTACTGTTCTATTATTACTACTATTATTACTGGTTTTCAATCACTGTGTATTTGCAACGGGTAGACACACCTTTTCTTCCAGTAATTCTGCAGCTGCTGGCCCCCATTTTTCACCAGATATCTAGGAATTTCAACATCTAGCATGGACCATATTAACCCGGGCGACATGCGAGCTGCTATGGCTTTCTGAAATGTACATCTCATGATATTTTTGATGGGAGAGACACTCTTTGTCTGACTCCTCTAATGAGACCTGTCCAGTACGGTTGAACCTCTGGCATAGCTCTCATCTTCTTCAAGAGCACACAAGCCCCACAACCACATATTATCATTATTATTGATCATTGCACAGTCAGCCAGATGTTCAGACTAGGTTTGGCATTTTGTCTACCCATCAAGTCCTCACAAAGGACCTGGGATAGGCAAATCTGGATATTTGATGGTGTTGCATATATCGCAGGATGGAAGCTGTTCCAAATAAAGCTGCCTTCTGCAATTGACTGATGGCAATT